TGTTGATATCTCAAACACTTTTTGAGTTATGCTCCACTCAGGTAAAATATTAAGTATGAAAAATAACAAAGGGCAATAACTCAAAAATTATGAAAGGTAGAGTTATCATTCTTGTGCACTGCACACCTCCTGAGTGAGATCTATGCACCTATGAAGTTTCATGTTGATATCTCATAGGCTTTTTGAGTTATGCTCTGGACAAAAATCAATTTTGAAAAATAACAAAGGGCAATAACTCAAAAATTATGCAGGGTAGAGTTATCATTCTTTTGCACTGCACTCCTCCTCAATGAGGTCTATCCACCTATGAGGTTTCAAGTTGATAACTCAAATACATTGAGAGATATGCTCCGGACAAAAATGTCGGACGGAAGGACGGAAGGTCGGACGGACGGAGACTATTACTATATCCCCCGCCGCCTTTTCGGCGGGGGATAATAAACATCTTACTGTAAACTGCTTTGATAGATTGGCTTACAGTGTATTGATTTCAAAATTAAAACAACACCTTAAATTCTTAAGTAATATCTTAGTGACAGTTAAAACCGAAAAAATCGTACTGGGAGATAAAGTAAAATCGTCTTTCATATCATGGTTTATATTTGCTTGGCGAATAAAAAACCCCTCAGAAAATGGTCTCTTGACAAAGTAAATAAATCTTGTTACCACTATGAAGACTTGTAGCAAGGTTTGTATTCATTAAGTAATGGTTAATAGAAGACATCATGAAAATTAATTATTAATATCACCAAGATTTATAAGCACTTTTCATATTATAAAGCAGAGATACCTTTAAATAAAATTTCTCAAGACCACCGATCAGGATATCTTTGTTTTTGGATACGGTGCATATTATACAAGCAATCATTAAGACATAAAATTAAATTATATATTCCAAAGCTTTCCTTTACTCTGTTTGATCGGTTAATAATGATAATAATCAAATGATATCTTTAATGGAGATAGAAAATGGCCTAATAGAGAACAAACTTTTCATGGCATGTTATAATGAGTCAAAATTATATGAAAAATTCTATAAGCATGAATTTAATTACATTTTTCTTGGTGGTTTATCAACATATATTAAAACATTGGTAACGTAAAACTCTGTTTGATGAGTATTATTAACGCAGAATGATGTGCTTCTATCTGTCGAACAGTGCAATATACCTGTCTCTTAATATGATTTTTACTAAATTAACACGTAGTAACAAAAGGCTATCCAAAAAATATAAGGATTCTCGGAGATCAATAATCAAATGCAATCAATGATATGGGTATGTTCGTGAGATTAGTTTGTAAATATAGGACAGTCCAATTGTTAGGGTTTCAACAGTATACTAATTATGTCAGAATTAAAAATGAAGTTATTTCTTCTTAAAATGTCGGTATTTCACTCGCCGAGAAAGAACATACATTTTACATTTACTAGATAGAGCTTACATTATATCCAAAACATCGACCTTTCTTACAAATTTGGCTTATGTTAACAGTCTAATACTAGCAGTTCTCAAACGCTTATTGTTGTAAATGTGTTCGTAGTTTCTAGCGTCAAACATGCAAATGCTTGTACATAATCAAAAACAATTTACCATAATTAACAGACATGTGAGATTGATCTCAACCCAACGAATATCAAGCAAACATTGTTATTGCACGGATGTTCAATATTTAGAAAACAATTAATGAAGATATTTGTTTTGAAAAAAAATACAAGGACTTCAATTGCATCTCTAAAATTAAGGAAATAAAAAGGGTCATTAAACACACTATTGTCAATGCAGCAAACAACTTTAAATCATCTTAGGTGTCAAAAATCGAGAGAAAGAAAATTAAATTCAACGTTCATTTGCACAGAAACATGCAGGAACAAAATATGTTATGTCTCATTTTTAAGCAAGGCAAGACGAAAAACAGAAAATGTGATTGAAAACAATTGTATGAAATTATAAAAAAAGACAGAATCAAAATATTCTTAGTTACTCTGAACACTTTTTTTCAGGCATTGTGTGCCATTGAACAAAATAAAATTGAATAAAATTTCCATTCAGATTTCTGTTTTGAAACATTCACTTTGGCAAATATGATGCCAGTAACCTGTCACATTAAAAATTTCTTAAAGGCTTATTGCTAATTCTCCAACAGGTGTCTACAAAATTTGGCTGATTTAACCCTATTCAATTTGTTGTAAAAACGCTTGCTATTGATTAACACAATAATCTGGTACTAAAATGTTAAAAGGATAGGATTTGTTTTAATTGTTAAATAAACAATCCATAATTTATTTTTAAAGCGGTAACAAAAGCCACGACAATAAGATTAGCTTGAAGTCAGGGTTATTCGGGAGTGTCAAAAGTTTTATTTGTCCAAACAACGTTTAAACAATTTTTTCGTAAAGTTACAAATGGTCAATCAAACTGTATTAATTGCTCTTCTATAAATATAGACTTATTTGGACGTTTTATGCTTCTAATAACGGAAATGAAACGTTTGAAGGATCGGTCGGGATAAAATGGAAACATAATATGTATAAATGTCAGGCCAGTTGAAACTAAGCTAAGTAGTTCTAGTTTATATAAAGTACAAACTGTAAAGTACACATATCTTAGACCGATGCAAATACGTTATTGATCAAATCACTCCTACCGTATGGTAATGGTGAAGATGGTTCTCAAATTAATTTGTTAAGAATTAAGAGTATACGAGTACATGTAGTTAACAAGAGTTACATAGTGAATCAAATGAGGAGGGCCCACGTATCACTGGCGGTATAAAGTACATATTTTGACCTTCCCGATTTGCTGCTTGCCGAAGACCTTAATCAGTCCTATGTGTATCATTGTTGGAACACTTTGGACACATTGGCACCTGAGTTAAACCACTGACATTATGTCAGCTAACTGGATAGTTCCCTCAAATAAACAAATCCATGATCTCTATCGGAATTAGAGCCAAATCCATTGGGCAAAAGTGATTTGATGCAAGTGATCTAAGCAACCCTAATAGAATATTCATCAAAAATATATACACAATCATGCATGCAACCATGTTTTTAATACATGATGGAATCGTGACGGTTTAGAAAATCCAGTTTAAATTGAAAGATGCAACAGTTGTAAGGTAGAAAATATATTTTATACGCTTAGATCCCAGTGCATAATATCTACCAAGACCTATTGATGCCTAATGTATGTAACTTCAATTATAAAGAAGAGAGTAAATAATACATGTTTTTTTGTATTTATGTGTATTATTATTTTTTCCATTGAATGATTTTCCGCTGAGTTAAGGCCCTGGAAAAAAAGCGTTTTGGTCCGTGCATGCTCTTTGTGTTTTCTGCTTTACAATAGCTAATACATGTTACAATACATGAGACTTATACAGATCACTTTTTTGTCGTCTGGAATTCCGCCCGTCTGTCTGTTAGAAAACTTTTATTGACAACTCCTCTAAATCCATCCAAACTTGTACAGAAATGATCACTACCAAGTTTAGTTGTGCATATCGTAAGCATTTTCCAGTTCATTGATTTTAGTCAGAATTATGGCCCTTTATTTTTTATTTTTTTTTTTTTTAAGTTTTGTCTACTAATCTAATGATATTGATGTCATTTGACTGAAACTGGTACTTCAAGTACTTGTGCATATTTTATGGGTTATCTGGTTAAATGATTTTTGGCCGAGTTATGGCCCTTAAATACAAAAGCGTTTTGACATGTTAATAATTTTTGCGTGCCTTATTACACAGTAGCTGTATCGTGCTACAAAATAGCCATGACATATAGGGAGCAAACTGTCCAATCACTCCTCAATACAACTGCTTAATTGGTTATCATCAGGTGACACATGTGATGGCCGATCGCTCTTGATTACCTTAGAAGCATGATTTTGTACTATTTTTAAAAGTCCATTGGGAAATGCAACATGCCAAATATTAAAGCCGTAGGAATTGTTGTATCTCAGTAGATGTTTAATGTTATTAATATGTAATAAGTGACCCTGAAGAGGGGGCATTTTTATTTCAAGGGCATTATTTATATACATTCTTAGAGGCCCACTAAGAAATGCTTCATGCAAAATATCTAGGCTAGTGTCATAGTTAGTTTTAACCAAGAAGGCTTAAATGTATTTTAGATAAGTCTTTATACACTGCGTGATTCCGAGGTTGGGCTAAATGTAACTCCACGGGCATGATTTATATTAGTTTTGTAGAAGGATATATTGTAATGCTACATGCTAAATATCTTTGTTTTGGACATTGCAAATTTTAGGACAGGTAATCTATACCAATTTTTGACCCAGTATCATAATTATAAATTTTTGTTCACCAGGCAATGCTAAATATTTAAGCTCTGGTCTTTCTTGTTTCCACAAGGTGGCTTATATACCCGAGGCTCATCTGTATAATTATTTATAAACTAAGTGATCCAATGGACAGAGTTATAATATAATAAGGTAATGCTGCATGCCAACAAATATCTTTGGGCAATATTTTCTTACAATATTTTTTTAGCTGTTTTGCTTAAAACTTGAACCATTTACATAACTTTTGTAGAGGACCACCTAATAAATGTTTATTCCTGTGAAGCAGTCAAAGTTCACCATGTGTTTTTTGATGATATGTTGTTACAAAAGTGTCCATAACGACAAATGAGGGAAACTTGCCATCACAAAGGTTCAAAGGTGAACACTAAAATATGACCTGGCTACTTTATGTGAAGAACTATAATTTACTGGTGGTTAAATAAAGTTTAAATAATATAAGAAATGTAACTTCTATCATGTATGATTATGTATACATGCAAACATGTACATTTTGTTTAGAAATACAAATACTGAAAAAGAAGAGATATTTGCAAGACTAATAAAGTATCATCTATTCGTATCATGTTTTCCTATCTTTATTTCTATTTTAAAAATCTAATTTTGTTCATCTCAACTAGCATCTATAAATTTCACTAATTATTTGTTCATAAAAAGCAAATGAATCAGTTAACACACTTCTAGTTTCAGAGTTTATTATTTAATCTACTGCACTATATAAATCTATATTACAAACATATTATACAGCCATCAATATACAACACTGCCTCATGATGTTAAGTTAACAAGCAAATAGAACTATACATGTCCTTCAATATCTTTATGAGAATATAGAATACTCAAGAAAAGAGTAGTTTATCAAACAATTACCTTATAAGTAAACATACAGTTATAAGTATAGTAAATAACTCACAGGTTGTTGTAAAACGTTTAACCACTAGCCTGCTGCCAGCAACTGATTCAACACATGTGACCAGTGCAGACCAAGATCAACTGGCACATCTATGCTGTGTGGTCATGGTCTGCACTTTTCACTCTTCAGTCAGAACATATTTCTAAAATCTCTCTAAACATGATGAATGGTTTTGTACAAAGTGAAAAATAGACAATTTCATTTATTAATAAAATATTCACAGTGGTAAAGCTTAATCTAATCCACATATCATTTTCTGTCTCAAGTAAAAGTAATGATGTCTTGATTAACTTGATTAACATATTTTTAACATATTTTTAAAAACAAGTATAGAAATTGTGTTGTCAACATTATAGAGTTTGTTCAGACAGTACAGGGGTACAGCCACTGGTGGCATATATCAGTAATTATCACTCATGGTTCTGAACTATTTAATGATATAAGAATAATTATCATCACTTTCTGTATATGAGTGAAAAAAAAGAAGAAATACATGTTCTTTTATCATAATAAATGTATATCAACAGTGAATAAAACATTATCTAATCATTTAAATACCAAACAGTATTTTATTACAGTATTCCGTGAACTAATAACTCGTAAATAATATTTACATCAAATGTATTATTCTTAATATTTAATTTATGCATTTCCAAGTTAAATACATAATTATAGTTATAAATGAATATATTCTACAGACCTGTGCTAATATTTAGAAGATTTTAATCAGACAACCTTTCACAAATAAATTTATATCTAATATCCCTGTATTTTTACATATTTTGTAAATCAATAATCAATACTGAGAACTAAATAAGAATTTTAAATACATGTATATTAGAACATTAGAATTCATAAGAAGATATTATCTTATTCTTTAAATAACTATTCATACCATCCATTGCTTTTAGAAGATCAAGGTAGCTAAAATTGAAAGAAAAAAAACACAAAACTTTTTTATGATAACAGCCGTTATAGTAAATTTGAAGTTCTCTAACAATTTCAAATCACTTTATAATATAAGATCATTGTAACTAAACTTTTGTAAAATAATGTAAATTTATTATGTATACCTGTATACCATCTGCTATTACAATATCTATCATGTTTATCAGATATATCACAGCAGTTTGCAATCAAAGTCAATTCAAATAAATTAAATGTACATAATTGAGTAGATCATGCTTCTGTCGTTGTCATGCCAACATTTTCTGGCACATTGACTGAAGATACATCCGATGGTAACACATCATATCCTAACTTCTTCATGTCCTTCATCACAACATTGAATGATACTGTCACAAAACCTTGTGATCTCACTCTAGTAACTGAAACATAAAACATAGATTTATTCATTTATTTCAACCTTTACATTGCTGTATTAATCCTGAAATATTACCATATAAGTACTTTTTTCTGCGGGAAGTTTATTTCTGCTATTTCTGCGGTTCATAACGACACCACAGATTTAAAAACTGCAGAAAATTAAGCCTTTCCCTATGTATATGTCGGAATATTTTAACTACCAGTATTGTATAATTAAATTACCATGTATAATTAAATTACATGTATCGTTATCTGCTTTTGTAGATATTAATGGTATTGGGATTTTTTTCTTTACGTATCCATCGTGATTAAACGATTAGAAACAAATCCCTACTTTGCTTGTTTTATTTGTTTAAATAATCATCATTTTCTCAGAATAGCATGATACTTACAAATTCTCGATAAAAATTTATAGTGCATATCATTGCAATTAAATACTAAAATTGTGTTCATGTGCGGTTTATACCGTTGTTAATATCGCTGTTTTAATTTTCTCATTTAAAAAAATATTTAACAATATCATTATCAAAGACATGATTAAAAAAATAACCCTTGTTATTGTAATAAATGCCAGTAAACAGTCTTTTGTATTTATACAATACATGTAACATGTGTCTATGTGCGATTTGCCATTGTTTATTTTTCACACTTAACTTCACAATTCAACTTTAAAGAAACAATCGACATTCTTTTACTCAAATTGTGTTTGCATGTTGTTGTTTTTTTATTTTATTTACGTGTATAAACCGATATATGATGATTACAAAAAAATGCATACTTAGTCGTCTGCATTTTAAACCAGAAGTAATGTAACATCAACAAATCTTGAAATGTTGTCAGTTTTCACTTGTTTATTTTGTACAAATATCTTAATAAAAATGCAGAAATAAAACACATCAATGTGAGAAAGATGACACCGTAGAAATAAGATACACAGAAATTTAAAACCCCTTATTTTGACAAAAATCGCAGAATATTAAGCCCGCAGAAATAAGTACTTATACAGTACATTATAAAACTACTACAGCTAGTGTCATACAAAAAGCAGTTACAGGCTGCCTTTTCCCCAGCTCAACATAAGAAAATTTATAATTCTTGTACATTTATATATGAACAATATTTCTACCCATGAAGTTTCAAGATGATATATGTTGGCCATATTTGCCCCTGACAGTCAATCATTATTGGATCCAATCAATCAATAAGCCTCATTTCTGTTTCCAATCAATATCAAATGCATATTGTACCCTGTATGGCCTTGTTTTCATTTTCAGAGCCAAAAATATCTATATCAAATGCATTTAGTAAATCAAATGCATATCAAACTCCATCTAGTTTTGTTTTCATTTCCAGAGTCCAAAAGTTTGTATCAAATATCCTTATTAAACAGTTCTCTCAAATGTCAATAACCTCATAGTCTCATCAAAACATTTACAATTCAAAGAAACAATATGATGACAATTACATTTCTACAAAACAATGACTTGGTAGCTGCAATCATTCTTCAATCAAAACTGCAAATTAACAATTAAATTAAGTGCATCGTACAATTAACGTGCATTCCACAGATTTCAGCCACAGTTGTGACAATGCATCGATAAAATGTATTAAGAAAACAATAATGCAGTGTTCTGCAAATTAAATGAAAATTTCCATTTATTCAAATTTTAGAAAATGAACCAGAATGTTTTATTTTAAATTCAGGAACATGAATTGATCATTTCTCTGTTTTGCAAACAAGTTCACATAAATCTGTCTATTTGAGGAACAATAGATCACCTCTAAAAATAAAGTCCAAAATAGTAACAGCTATCAAACTGACCATACATTTGACTATTCTCAGTACTATAATGGTAGAATAAGAGCCATCAGGACTTAGTATAGTCATTCAGCAAATATCCATGCCAGAATTGTAAGATTTTTAAAGAGCTTGACACTCCTAAAATTATTGAAGGGAATATCTTCATTGGATATAAATATAAAACTTGCATCAATTACCTGAATAAACATAAGTTTATAGAGGAGTGTGATTCAATCACACTTCATGCTTAAGTTGAACTATAATTTTGATCCTGAAGGTATGCTTCAATTATATATAAATGTCTTAAATGGTTAATGAAATATGAAATCGCAAAACCTTCAACAAGTCATAGATCCCTACTCTGATCTTTCATTTGAATAACAATTTATTTAACCACAAACATTGGTGCTCTTTTGTTAACATATAGGTTGTGGTGAAATTTTTATTGTGTCCACTAATCTTATAATTAGAATTAAACAGGTCAGGGATCTATGCAGTATTACCAAACACCAAACACTAAGGTAATTGGTCGAGTTCCTCAAATAATTGAGCTGATTCTTGTCACAAATGTTCTTGTCAATAGTTGTACTATGATGCAAAATCACATGTTTTAATCACCTGTCATGAAATGTCATTTTTTTTTTAAATTCCCTAAACAGGCTTTACTAAAATCATTCAACAGATGTATCTCTTTTACATGAATACATAATACATGTTTTACTATCTTGATGTTTACCTTCTCTGCCTTCACCCTGTGAGACTACACGAGGATCAATGTATTCTGGACGTCTTCCTAGAAACCATGATGTAAGCTTCTGTAATGTTGAGGATGATTCAGGAACAAACATGGCCAATTTTCTCTTGTGTCTGAAATAACACAAATTAAAATACACTTAAAAAAACATGACTGTATAAAATTTAGAAATAGACTATTACCTTTTAGTTCAAATACTAACAATTATGTCGTAAATCCATAAGCTAGAGATAGAATGTTTATATATAGACCAGACATCTCAGTAATTGAGTAATTTAAAGTTGACTTGGCAATAGGTTATTATATATCAATGGAGGAATGTTAATTGAAGTCACTGCCTGTCCTCAATTAGCATGAAAATATGTTGATAAAAGTCTTTGGTCTCATCTCTTCAAATGGTTTATGAGATCTAGACTTAGTCATGTTTTGTGTTTAAAGAGGTGCAAAGTGCAAAATGCTATAACATGCCCTAATATAATACAACATTAAGATGAAGATGATATATGCAGATATTATGTATAATTTCAATGGCAGGAAAACATTATATCAAGGACAGGATTGTATTATTTCAAGAACCAATTAAATATTATATTATTTCAAGGGCATGATTGCATTATTTCAAGGACAGGATTGCAATATTTCAAGGGCATGATTGCATTATTTCAAGGACTGGATTGCAATATTTCAAGGGCATGATTGCATTATTTCAAGGGCATGATTGCATTATTTCAAGGACAGGATTGCATTATTTCAAGGTTATGAATGCATTATTTCAAGAAACAATAGTTAATTATTTCAAGGACAGGGTGTACATTTTTTCAAGGATAGGATTTTATAATTTCAAGGACAGAATCACATTATTTAAAGGACGGGACTCCATTATTTCTGGCTTATGATAGAAATAGGAAGAATCAACAACCAACAATTACACAAAGTACATTTTTTTATAGAATGAAGTATTAGGAATTCAACAATGACATAATACATGTTTAGCCACAGATGACCATAGGATATTCAACAAGAAAGTTAGATAAACAAAACTATGTGAACTTTGTTTTAAACAATATTATACAAACTTTGCCCTGCTTTAATTGTATTTAGAAGACTAAATTTGTATAGCCATTAGCATTATACACAAGAAACAGTATCAAAAGCAATTCTAAGTCATGTGAATTGTCCACTTCAACATTTTCATATATAATTAATTGTGTTATTTGGTCCATATTTTCACAGCTCTAAGCTCTTAACACTGCCTAATTGCAAGTCACAAGTTCACACTTGTCCTCTAGCAATGATAATCTTTATGAGGCAGAAGAATTCCTCAGCAATTTCTCTTTATTAAGGCAATTACTTGGACAATATTCCACTAACAAGCAGTTTTTCCTAAACTGAATATATTAATATAAACTTGCTTCTGGCAGTTGTATATTTAAGTGGATGTGATGATTAACAAGTTAGCTTTTATTACTCACGTTAACATAAAAGCATAAATATAAATTGACTGGTGAGGTGTTTTGACTAACCTGAGATTTATATTGTTTGTTTGTTTTATAGGTGTTTAGGTCACAGCAGCACTGTAACAGTCATTAAGCTTTAATGGTGGGAATTATGACCTCAGGTGCCCCTTCCTGCATTATTACATGCATGAGCAGGCACCTTATTAGAACAACGTACTTTCCATAAGCTAACTAGACAGCTTCCTCACATTAAAAAATTCAAAGTTCCACATCGGATAAGAAAGAATAGCGGTAAAGTGCAAGTGATTTGAAGTTTGCAATCTTGATTGCTCAGTCCCCTGAGATTTTTAAGTTCAAAAAAGCATTTCAAAGACATTAATTTTTGTTTCTCTATCCATTCAACTTAAACAAGAAATTCAGTTCAGCCAATCTGTAATTAATTGGTAGGATATATGTAAGAACTTAAAGAGAATCCAGCAAATTTTAAACATTAAATGACTTCCCTCTAATAGTGACCTAAATAGTAAAAATGGAATAAATAATGAATGTGTATCTAGTATATTAGATATTAAAAATTGAGACTTCATCAGCAGGGGCATAGCCTGGCCTCAATGTGTAGGCCAACATCTATGGGGGGTAGGGGGATGCACTCCCCAAGACATGTTTTTGCATGCTATGGCCTATAGGAAGCGATGCCACTGCCACCAATATCTAGAAAACAGTTGAGGGGTTTAAGGGTAGAAGAACAGAAGTATTCAGTTTGCAATAATTTATTTTTTATTTTATCTATTTATTTTGTTGTTTGGAGGGAGGGGTTGATGGTTTGGTTTTACATAGCACCAACACATTATAGGTCATATGGTGACTTTCAAACTTTACTATAGAGGTAGACTTCATGTGCCCTTCCATGCATAGTTCTAGGCACGAACAGGCACCTGAGTTGAATCACAGATGTTCAATTAGCTATCTATCTATTAGCTTTAAGTGCAAGGTTACCCCTCTCAGTAACTATAAAACACTTTTTTTTGTCTCTGCCTTTTAATCCTGATAAATGAAACTTTACAAAGCAGAGACTAGTTAATTATTTCAACTTAAGAAATTTCATTTTTCAGGCTAAAATTACTAATCTACTTATGTTATTCTCATATATTTTAAACAAAAAGTTCAATTCAATGTTTTAACCTTAGGTTATAAATCTGTACTTTTACCAACAACAAAGCCTTTTTTGTTAAAACAGATAAACAATAAGCATTTAAACCAGCATATCTCTTGTCTTAAGACTTGCAATTTAAGAATCATTTTCATGCTAAAATAAGGTAAATATTGTATAATCGTATCTGGCATTCTATCTATCAAAGAATCTTAAATTCAATTCCCATCCACTACAATCAAAATGCATTATAGATAATACTACAATAAGATTTATTTGAAAAGTCATGCTAAGCTATCATTATGTGTTGTTTTGAATCTCATTTCTTCTTAACCACATCAAAGTTATAGTTTTGTATTTCAAAAACTATTGAGCAAAGTTTTGTTCAACAATATCTATTTAAGCTCCATTTGGAAGAAAGCTTGAAATTATATGAGCCACTCTTAGATCCACTTTCAGAAACTAATCATGATTGTATAGGGTGTTATACTGGCCATTGGTGATGTGTCAGTGAGTGTGTCTATTAATTTCCATAAACCTTCACTTGTTACTTTTCTACTTTATTGAGAAGAAAACAATTACATATTACTGTGACCTTGATCTTTGAGCTAATAGCCTCATAATAAAGAGGGTTCATATATTTGTCAAATTGCTGCTATTACATTTCATAAACCTACGCTTACTCTTTCCCAAGTATTTTGGCACACAAGAACTTTTATAGTATCAATGTGACTTTATACTAATTAATTAACTCAAAGTCGATATGGATTATCTACTGGCCATGGGCAATGTCCTAACTATTTTTCACAAACCTTGGATGATTTCTTCTAAAGTTATTGAACAGACAATTAGTATCAACTTAAAGTCACCGTGACCTTTGCATTGTGATCATATAACAGATAGGGGTCATCTACTGGCCATAGATAACATCCTTTCCATATTTCAAGTTACCGTAAAATTCCTATTAAACGCCCCCGGGGGCTAAACATTTTCCAAAAGGGGGGCTATACCTGTACGAAAAATCAGCATGGCTTTTATGAAAAACAGGACCGATTCAGGCCTGTTTTGAACCAGAATTGGCAAAATCAGGGTAAAATAGACATGGACCCTGAATTTTCAAGAAATCTCACATGGGAATTCAAGTTTTTTCTACCCTGACATCGTCTTCATTTTGGTAAAAGTCAGGGTGGAAGCAGGAATATTTGCACTTTGAAAATATTTTGACATAGATTTTACTGACTTGGAGAAATATAAGGAAAATCTACCCAGATATTTCAATGTTAGAAAATTTTCAAGAACCAGTTTCAATACAATCTTAAAAGTTCTTCATTTCCAGCCTGATTTTTCTTAGTTAGAGTTATTAGAAATGAATATTGTAAGACACTTATAGTACAGTTTACATTGCTGTTTAGATAAAATTGAATTTTTAATTCAGAAGAAAATATATTATAATGTCTATTTCTGGAAAGTTTCAGTTGATTTATGGTAAACTTCATTTAACAAAAATTCTTTTCATTTTCTGAATTATTCTCTATTATTTTTTTTGAAATTATGTAGATTATTTAGCTCAGCATGATTTATTGTTATCAATAAAATTGATAATTGTCACTGGGAATTGATTGTATTTATATTTAACTTATGATAAAAAAAAATATTTAATGCATTAATTGGTCAGCAATAAGTAATGTACAAGATGTTTAGTTTATATCCATCATCTCACAATCTGTACAGAATCTCCTACTTGTAAGGTCAGCTTCCAGTTTATATAAACAAATAACCTTCAAGAGGAACTTTTTACAGTATTTCAAAATACTATATGTTAAACTGGGCTATCTGGCAGATGAAAATAGAGAAGTTACCACAGATTGACCGACTGCAGTTTAAAATCCAGAGCAAATATCACACCCTGAAAATTATTTCCAGCATGGTCATTTTCTTTAGAAAGATTGGAGGCTTTAGTTGTGATTTTAATTCAAATAAATCAACTTACAATTATATATTAATGCATAAATGAGTTTTGATAGTTACATAGAAAATGAGATTTAAGAATTCAACTACCCCAGCTATACAGAACTTTCTTGGGAAATTTATTGTGAAATTTATATATAACATGGAGCGTAATAGATGTGTTAAACTTCGTTATTCAATTTAAAAAAAATGGAGGGAAATAAGCAGCCAATTGTAACAGATAAATGGTAAGTTATAATTGAATTACAGTTTCTAAATATTTTCAATTTTTCATAAAATTATGAATTCTGTAAGCTCATTATTCAAAAAAGGTTTTAAATAACTTTCCAGGAAACCTGTTTAAAAATATGGAGGGAAAATGAAATCATTCTTAATTTTTCTAAATAAACAATACATTTTGATCATTCCATTTTAGAAAAAACAAGATTGCATTTGAGAAAAATGCTATGCCACCGCAATGTTCAAATTTCATAGCTGTACATCAAAGGACAAGAAAGTAGGTTACATCATCAAAATCTAGGTCACCTGATATCAAAGT